CCCTAATTCCTTAACAAATTAACTTTTATTGTTAATTGACCATAAATGAAAAAAAGACTTAAAAATGATAGAAAATGATCAAGAAAATTACAGAAAAGGACTCATAAAATCAGACAAGTTTAGTCCTTTTCTATAATTTTTTGGTTATTTTCTATTATTTTATGGTCAACTAACTAGCAAAATTAAATTTTATTAAAGGTAAAAGTAACATGACACCATTTTCAAAATTAAGGAAAAAAATTATACTAAAATGAGTTGAAGGTCTTAGATTACGCTCATGAATCTACAATTTAAGGGCCAAATTCTCATTAACCCTTAATTAAATGAGGGGAAAATTAGAGTACCAAATTAAAAGGATTAAAATATACTCCCTCTATTTAAAATGTAAAGTATTTTTTTAGAGTTGAGTGTTAAAAAAATGTGAAATATTTTTAATTTTTTGAAATGTAATTAGTGTACTTTTCCCAAAAGTGATTATAATAAATATCACTTTATATTTATTTTAAAATGAAAACGCCCTATTAAAAAGAATAAATATGAAAAGATGATATTAATTGGAGAAAATTAATTATTTTATTGGGAGTGAAATTAAGTTAAAAATGCTTTATATTTTTGATAAAGAGAGTAACTTTTTAAAATATTAATTAACATCAATTTTTTTATTTCGAAAATTGCAGCCACATATTCTAATTTCAAAATTAATAAAATCAGCATTTATTTTTACCTTTGTGTTGTTTTTGGGATTGTAGGGACGAAGCAGAACTAGCTCAAAACGTGGTCGAGCATTACGGATCCAATTTGGACTACGTAATTAAAGTGAGACAGTTTATTGGTCGGAGAATTTATGAAAAACAATACTGTCTGTGCGCCAGCGCGTGGTTTCCTATGTCATTTTCATATGAGATTGATGTTTTAACTCTTTGGATTAATAAGTAAATAAGACCCTGAATTATTATCCAAAAATCATACTAAACCCTGAACTCTTAAATATATAAAATAAATCCTAAACTTTTAAATTCATAGCAAAATAACCCTGAACATTAACTTTTTTAAACATTGTTATTGTTTTAACAGGTACTATAACAATAAGATTAAATTCCTAAAAAATAAACTATGAACAGTGCCTACGTGAATAGTAATGGTGTTAAAAAGTTAATAGTCAGAGTTTATTTACTATAAATTTTAAAATTTAGGATTTATTTTATATATTTTAGAGTTCAGTTCAAAGCAATTTTCGAGCAATAGTGTAAAATTCTATTTGCTCATTATTCCTTACTCCTTTAATATGATTTATTAGGTGGGGATAATATTTATTTTTATTCCTATTTTATAAAAGTATCTCAATTCCATCTTTATCCTTTTTATTTTCATTAAATTGAAAAGGTTATTAAATAATAGAGTATTTTATATTTAAAGTATGTATATTTAGTTGAATAAAAATAAAAATTTGTTAAATTTTATACAGAATTAATGGAATTAATGAGATTTAAAATATTTCTTTAGTTCCAATGAAAATGCTGAAATTGAGCTGTGACTAGTGGGAGTATTTTTTGTTTTCTTGTTGGAGTCCGTCTTCTTATAAATTGATGCATTATGAAAAAGAAAGTCTAGGTTTTTGTGTGTCGTTTTATATACGCGGTGTCTCATTTTATTTTTATATTATTTTCTAACTACTTCCCATTATTTTTTCCTTATTGAATTTTTTTCTCCTCCATGATGATTTTTTTTAAAAAATATCAATCTTGACATAAAATATAAAATTTATGGAGAATCATATTATTTGTAAATTATAGATTTGTCCTCAATAATTCGGCCCATTCTTAAAAAAACCTTCTTTGTTCATTTTATCAGGCTAACCAAATTTTTTTTTCGTTCTTTTAATTGTTTTTTTTTCACATATTTTAGAATAAATTATGTTGTATTGAGCCACGAGGAATTTAGCAAAAGGGAGGGAGGGAAGACCACCAGAAAAAGACAATATTTTTCAGATAGAATCACCTTTTTTTTAATTTAATTTGTAGGGAATGTATTGTTGGCCCAATATCCTTCACCGATCCCATTATCCCAATGTATTCTTTTTTTTTCATAATTAAGACAAATATAAAGAAACATAGTGTACAGGAAAATGTCACTTCACTTGGCCAAACCAAGGAGAAAAACTAAATACAGAGTAAAACAAATCCTCATGAACTGCTTGGAATTGATGATATTGAAGTTGATTGACACTGAGACTTGAGAATGTTGCTAGAAGAAAATGTTTACTTATTAATAATATTAATTTGCATAGCAATATTGAAAAGAGTATGTGCTGAGCACAATAGGAGTTAGTCCCCCAAGAGCTGTCCTTAAACAAATGAAAAGAAACTGAGACGCATCCTGAAACCGTTTTCCTCACCAACTTATCATTGATGATTGAGAGTTGAAGCATATTGCAATAAAGTAAGAAAAAAAATACTTTCTATCCTTTCGAATTTCTTGAGCCAAATTGTCCACAACTGACAAGGTGGTACAAAAAAAGATGAGGTTAACCAGATGTGAACTAGATGAAGAAATGACCTTGATGCTGAGGAAGAAGGCCATCGGCACTATGATCAAGAAAGTAGCACTACTCTGAAATCTCTTAGCAAATATTAGAGTTAGGAGATGAACATTGATGGATGATAGAATTCCTCAATACCCATAGCTGATTGATTAAAATGATGATATGCCAAATCAATCATAATGTGAATCCATGAAAAGTTGCTTGAAAGTAGATACTGAACGAGAGATCAAATTCCTTGAAAGCTGAATTCTAGATATTCAATCCACCAAACCAAAGAGATTGGGCCAGTTCACAATGAACAAGATCACAATCAACAGTTTTCCTATATACATCTTTAAAATTTTAAATGAGATTAATTAGACTGATTGAGGGATAAAATGGTAAATTGAGGTATATTCAGGTTATTCATAGTGGACAAATGACCATTGGGTCTATTGGACCCTAAATGAGGATTAGAATTGGACTCTAGACACTATTGAGCCACCTTGGACCCAAATTAAAGGGCTAGAATTAGGGTTCTCATTCTATGTCATCCACTGCCATGAATGACAACATGTGTCAGGCACGTTGTAAATTTAAATACCAAAATGCATCTAAGCTGAAAAAAAACAAAAGAAAGAAAGGGTGAGCAAGAGAGAGTGTGTGGAGCTCTGCTAGCTAGTGCTTGTGTTTTGCAAAGCTTTTGGGCCATTTGGAGCTTGGAATCAAGTGAGTAAGCTTCTAACCTTCCTCTCCCCCTCTCTTGAGCGTTTTTGTGTAGTTTCTTGAGAGCGTTTGTATGGAGTCCAAAATGGGGTGAGTTTTATCTAAGTTTCTAACTCCAATGGGATGGTTTGGACGTTTATTTAAGTGACTAATTATTAAGTTAGGCTATTGGGGTGTTTGGTGATGCGAATGATAGGTCTAGAGTTAACCCTAAAGCTAAGCAACCTAGTTAATGATAATGGGATAGTCTAATGGTATTATTTAGACTAATGATTGGTTAAATAAGTTACGGAAGTTAGAAATGAGCATGGGTATAGCTAATGACCATAATGGGAATCTTGGGGTTAGGCTTTGATTAGAGCTAATTAAAGATTATTAGACTTGATTACAGCTAATTAAAGTTTTTGAATAATTCTATTTTGTGTTATTAATAACATATATTTAATATTTTTAAGTGTATATATTTGGTAAATAGATCTTTAGGAACATATGGAAATCAATAGGAGTGGTAGACAAGAAAAAAAAAAATGAAATCAAGTACATGCAAATACAAGTAAATATTCCAACTTTATTCCTTAATTAGAATGAAGATTATAATATTGGTTTAATGAATTTAATTTTTTTTATTTTTTATAGTGTCCTCAACAACCAGGAAGTATAGAGTGCAGTTATTATGTGATGCTTTTCATGTATAAAATTATCACTCAAAGTATTATTCACTCATTTGATCAGGTAATAATTTGTTAATAATGATTTATAATTATGAAGTTGGCCGTATACTTGAGTTATTATTATATATATATATATTGTTATTAAATTTGTAGCACTTCATAGAGCCATATTCTAAGCAAGAGTTGATACATATACGCAATATTTAGTCTAGTTTTTTCTTAAAATTAATAGGATTATAGTAGAAACTTTCTAGATATTTGTATTGGAAATGTAAATTTTTAGTTCATATGTTTGTACTAGATATATTTGTATTAGTCTATGAAGTTACTGTTTAGATACTAATGCAAGTTTTGTAAGTAAGGGATGCATATAGTTTATAGGTGATACTATAAAAAAATATAGTACTTACTGCCACAATTTGTTATAACTAGTAAAAGATGCATCTATGACGACATTGTGAACTACAATTGTTGCCATAAATGCATCTTCAAATGCATCTTTTGCATAGGTGAGCTAGGTCCTGTGACAAAAAAAAATATTTTTCGTCACTTGTTGATGCTATTTTTTACCACAATTGAGTTGGAACCTATGGCAAAAAATAGCATCTTTCGCCAACAGTTCCTTGACCTATGACAAAAAATGTCAATTTACTATCACACAAATCTTCTACGATATAACATCTTCTGTCACCAAAAATACGTTTTAACTGTAGCAAAAAATGCATTTTGTACAAATGATAGATTGACTAGAGTAATTGAGCTTGTTGGGAGCTCATTTGAAACTATAACAATGTAATATAACTCTTTTATTAGAACGCAGAATTTGTACACATCCAATCGATTGGTCTAAGGTCCAATCACTTACATGATACTATACCCTTAAGCTTATCGCATAGAATCTTTCAAGGGCATAGAAAGATAAACAAAGAAGCATAACTTTTTCCCAAAAATTATGTAATGAACAGTTTTCTAATGATGTCGTCATCAATAACGCCTAATGAAGGAAATAAGAGGATCATACACAACTTGCTTAGCATTTTCACCAAAAATGAAATTCGAATGAGCATAATTATCTATAAAGTTCACAACAAGCTTATCTTGATCATGATGTTGAAGGTCTGTAACCAATGTTTCACATCTTCAACATCAGATAAAGCATCAGCTCCTCCATTACTGAAGAAGAGAGGAATGTCATTGGGAATTCTTGACATGTCATAAAATGGAGGGCTTGACTGTCCGTATGTTTTGTGTTCTCATCTTTGTCCATGTAGTCATACATTGTTACGTTTCTCCTCTGATCAACTGTAATAATGGTCATTTATATATGTATATATGTTAGAAATTCTTCGACCATTTCATGAATAATGACATAAACAATTCTTCAACTTTAAGAAATAGAGACACACACATGATATATGAACAAAAATATGAGTTTCATATCATTCAAATTTTTCACTCAACGTTTTTTATTTTTTATTTTTAATGAAAACTGGATAAGTTGGGTCTTGAAAGCTTAATAGGATCAAGATGGTAGTCGACTTTTCTTAAAGAGGTTTTATTAAAAAAATTACAAATTAACAACCAATTTTTGCGCCTCACATTACCAATTTTGTTTATCTCTAAGTAAAGTGTACCATTTGAAATATTCATTTTCAGCATACTTTTGTAATCAAATACCCATCTATACTAATATTTAACTATTACAACATGATATATAACACGCGCGCGCACCCCTAAGCATTTATCATATCCTACCACTGCACTGCTCATATAGCGAAAATAAATTTTATTTTTACTGAGAAATAATAAGAAATACTACCTGCACGCACATATGTATATGCCAGATGAAAATGATAAAATAATATTATATAGGAATACTTACTTTGAGAGAGATGGATCAAGTTCTTTGTAGATGTTGATTGAGGTTCATAATCAAAAAATGTTGTGGTTATTGCAGAGCTTTGGCAGCAATTTGGACCTGAAACCATAACAAAATGTTTATTTTACTTTCATCAATTTTTTTGAAAATTTTATTATTGTCATTCACATTTTAAAAAATAAATTATTTGTATTTCATTAAGTTTCAATCATTATATCAATATATATATTATTAGTGTTTATATAATATAATATATATAACAAGTTATAACACTATCGTCCTTGGATATATATAGATATATATATAGTAGATATATTCATTTTAAAAATTCAAGATATTTGTATAGTGTATAGTTTACCATTATTTAAATCAATATCAATATTTGTATCAATCATCAATATGAATACCAATATACATATAATTATTATCAATATTAATATAAAATATAAAATTTATAAGGGGGAATGACATTTGAGGGCCAAAAGATTGAATTAGTTCAATATTAGGACTAATAAATTTGAGAATACTAAAAGAAGGATTAACTGTCTTTTAAATAATTCATTCCCTTATTCCTTGGTTTTCTCATTAATTTGTAAGTGATTCATCTATTTATGAAAAAAGGGAAATTTTATCTTCTATTTATTTGGGGGGGGGGGACGAATAGTTTTCATGACTTTGAGTAGTTTGATGCTCATATTCTTTAATTCATAACTTGGTAGATATTAATTTGTAAAATATTCATCTATTTATAAAGGAAAAACGATAAGTTAAATTGAGAAAATATTATTTTTTTCATAAAACCAGCTAGAGATATTATTCTAATTCTTTGATTTAGAACTTCGTAATAGTTAGTTTACAAGTGAGATTCATCATTTCATTAAAAGAAACATACCAGTAAATTCACTATTTGGGTCAAATCACTAAAGCACCTTCGGTCCTTTTGTTTCAAATTTTCAAATTTGTTATCCTCAAATAAAATTAATTCAAATTTTTTGTCCTTAAAAATCATTTCCAAATTATATCAGTGTCCAAATTCATAAGTCATAACATGTGCAACTTATTTCCTAGGCCTTATAATGCTTGCTATATCATGTTTTGTCATTATATAACTTTTTTTGAAGCGAAAATATAAAGTATCTGATAACATGTAAATGTCAGTAATATTATTGATTATATAATACCACATAGATGAATGTATTAAATAAACTCAGAAAAACTCTATCACGTACGTATCCAATTTTATACGTAGTAACTTCCATGTTTTACACACACAAAATGTTAAAATTAATTTTAACCACCTTATTTCATGTAATTTTTCATCCCTCATACATATATATTAGCTAGCTTCTAGATTCATCCCTGGATGTTCAAATGTGTAAATCTCTCCAAGGTTGTCAAAATCTAATAGGTAGCATATATTTTTTATTATAAAAAATAAGAAAATAAGAAAATTAAATTTAGACCTATAAAATCAAGGTAAACAATTTACAATATTAGGTCATGATCATTATTAAATAAAATACCTGTGTATAGGTTGATATAATTGGAGCAATTATTAGTACGGCAAAATAGCTTGATAACCATTGTGATAGTGGTCTTGTGTTCATGTATATATGAGAAGAGATGATCAGTTGAAACACATACATGCATACATATAGTAGCATATGTATGTATCATGTATGTCCACTTAAAGAAAATATTAAATTGCAAAATTAAATGTCAATCTTCAATTAATCATATCATGAATTTAATGTGCTCTTTTTTTTCATACTTATGCCCTTGAAGGATTTTGAGCCATACATATATAGCTTACTTCAATTTTAGCCATAGTGCAAAGTAAACTGAACTATAGACAAAGGAAAAAAAATTGATTTGCCATTAAAATCTAACCAGATGAATGATACTTAGGTTCAAAAGATGAATTTAATGAAAATTATCTTCGACCAAACAATTTTAGTTAAATAGATTAGTTGTATGTAGATTTAGATGGTGACAAAAGAGAAATTCTTATACAGACCTAATGCATCATGTCATATATATTCTATCCAATAAAAACTTGTCATGTTACACTTGTTTAATCATATAAAATCTAATATATTATTGTCTTTAATGACTTCAATTTAGAACAAAGTGCCTCTTTAATTTCCTATGTCTCTCTCTCTCTCTCTTTCTCTCTCACAATTAATGACATAGTTAACTTATATTTAGAGCCATCTGATATGACATGTTTTTATTGGACAAAGCATAGATGATATGGTACATCAATTCACTACAAAAAAATTGACTTTCAACCGCGACAAATGTCACCGCTAAAAGTTAAAAAGTTGCCACTTCAGCGATGACAAAAAATTACCACAATGTCGCTGCGAGAGCTCTTGTCACTGATTCAATCTGCAGCAACAATAAAAGTCACCACTGAAAGATGAGAATCGGCAGCAACAAATGTCACTGTAGAAAAGTTTTGTTACAGCCAAACGATAATTGTAACATCTCAAAAATTTTAAGACTCAAATTTATTTTAAAAAATAAAATAAAATATTTATAATTAAATTAAAATTTAGAATAATTTAATAGAGGTCTAGAGTTTGAATTTTTCTCATCAAAGTTTGGTTTTGTTTGATTTTTAACTATGAAAAAAATTACCAAAGTTGACCCGGGCTTTTGTGTTATAATAAAAATGTTGGGCCCTTTATTGTAATTTTTCCCAAAGTCTAATATCAGCAATTTAAGAGGGAAAACAGACGCAGAAATGCAGAAAAGGAAAGGAAAAGAAAGGAAATGCGTGAAAGAGAGAGGAAGAAGAAAGGAGAAAGAGAGGGAGTTAGGCTCGGATTCAGGAAACTTTGCGGCCGTTGCAAGCTCGGCTACGCGATAGGTAAACTCCCTACTTCAATCCTTTTCCCTTCCTCTTTGTTTTTCTCAATTTTTGGAAGAGAAAATTTGTGGATTTTGATCCCAAAGGTTTTATTCTTGTAAGCTTTTATTTTTTTGGATCCTAGGGAGGATGTTGAGTCTCTATATAGTGATCTAATATTTTGAGTGGATAATTGGATGAAAAGAGATGTTTTGGGCACAAATTAAACCCCGAGAGATTGGGTTTTGCTCCTCAATGGTTTAAGCCTATTGATTTAGTTATAATTTTGCTATTTGAGCCCAATAAGATTTAAATTAAAGTTTGGTTTTCATTATAAGGGCTAATGGTGAAAGTTGGTGACACTAAGTGAAGGTTTTTAATTAATTAAAAATTTTATAAATTAGAAATTAGGTTAGTGATGTCTAATAAATGGTTTTGGTGGTTAAGTGATATTATGTGAATGGTTGGTTTAATATATGGACCATTAGGATAGATTATGACTCATTGACCCAAGTTGTGTGGCATGAGTTATAGTCTTCATTAATGCTATTTGTCATGATAAGTGATGTGGATCACTTATATGATGTAGGGATTGTTGGTGAATTCGTTTGGAAGTTAAGGAACAAGCCGAGCCCTATTTTATACAAGAGGAACCCTTTTGGTACCAAAGGGTTGAGGTAACAAGAAAATTTATATTTCTTATTACTTTGTTTTAGCTATTTTTGAATAAATATTACTAGCTATCATGCATTACATGTTTTAAAAAGATTAATGTCCTTTATAAGGGGTTATGGGGTACTACTTTAATTATAGTGCAATATGTTTTTTAATTGTTTAACAACAATATTTTTATGGAAACGAGATTTGTTTACATGTATTTTAATCATAAGGAATAGAAGTTGCACTTAAGGAATTGTAACTAAGTAAGGTACCTTAGATAGGCTAAAGAATCGTTTAAGGGAGATTTATAAATGTTATACTACCTTAGAGTGTTGAAGTGGTCAATACTCGTGAAAGATAGACACGAATAAAAGGCATAATCTCGATAGGAGTTCACCAATGAGAAGGTGTGGACTTTTGATATTCTATGGCACACTGCCAGTACTCAATGTTGCCTTATGTATTATGGGCTCAGTGCACTAAAATAGTTAATGTATTGAGTGTTCGACACCTCTCAGTGGGGAAGGAAATCCAACATGAATGAAGTGTGAGGTTGAGTGCCGAGGCCAAGATAGCCCTCACATGGAGAGTAAGTCGGGCTGGCTCTGGAAGGGAGTTAGCTTTGACTGTTCAAGATTCACGTCGAAGGGACATAGGTGATTCGGTGGATTAGATCATGCCTTAGATTATGTTTTGTGCCTGTGGAGGTACAAGTAGGTATAAGGTTTACCTGCGAGTTAAAGAGTGCCAGGGAGCATTCTGTTGGTCATAAAAGGCCATACCAGCCTAGGTCATGCATTCATACAGTTTAAATGGCTAAATTATATACTATGTTGAAT